GTGCTTCTAGAAATGCTTAATTAGAGAAATCTTCAGTACTTATGTACTTATAAGCCTTCACACTCTTTAAGGATCGTAATGTGTTAATAGTTGAGTTATCACTAGGATCCTTATTCACTATATATTTCTGATTCCTTGGATAATTTGTTTTGATTAACGGAATAAAATATTTTTCAAGATTGATTTTAGTAAAATAAACTTAGACCTAGGAAGAAGTACAAAAGATTACATTTAAGACTACTTTTTTACTAACACGTTTTGCCCTTTTACCCATCAAAAACACCTAACACTTTTATGAGGGTCATGAACCAAATCATTCAACCGTATATTGTTAAATCATTAATAATGCATTGTGATCATACCATTCTCATTAATATTACTTGGTCAAATTCCTGAGTTACAAATAGTTTTAACAACACTTCGTGTTGACTCTTAATCACCTTAAATAGGTATAATTTTATAAATTCGATCACTTTTTTAGATTTCATGACCCATCTATAATATTTATGCATTATCCTATTAAAGTCAGCGCAATTCTAGATTGGCCTCTACCTATTAACAAATAATGTACATAATAGTCTAGCTACTTTCTATAACAAATTCATCAAGGTGATTAACAGCACCATTATGACTCCAATTATTGACATGATAAAACAAATTTTACAAGCCATCTTGCATAAAATGCCTTTCATTCTATTAAGAAATGATTATCACAGCTCTTATTAAATTATCCAGCTTCTCAAAAGTTTTTAAGGAAAGTTGCCACGCCGCTCATATTGGCATTAGAGATTTCACGCGCTAATAAGGAAATTTAATATTACACTTAAACAATCACCAAAAAAAAAAAATGCAAAGAAAAAGTATAAAACTTATGCTTGTGAATTTTATGTCATGGTTCAAACACTTGTACACAGAAGACACAATTTGTAATCACAAACTGCAACAGCATTCTAATGATGAGTTAAAATATTTACAATCACAAAAAAAAAAAAAATATTAAAGACATACCAAGGGTATTGTGTGACTGCACAAGGCCGTTATAATTAGACATTAGAGAGGAGTTGATCACAAGATAATTGATGTGTTAGCCTCACACATTCTTTATTACTTGTTACTTCTAAAGTATTTGGATTTGATAAATTGAAGAAAGTGTCTTTAATATACTAATTTTCATTCCACATATCATTATTTTAAGGACACAAAAGAGAACTCTTCCTCTAAAATTAGAGTTACTGAAGGCCATATATTATTATTTAGATCACTATGGCGAGCCCTTCCACAAAACTCCGAATTATCAAAGGAAATTTATTCAAAGGATTATTTGTTATATATCCCTCGCACTTAGTTAATTTTTCAAATGGGAATTATAAGGTGGACAACTTGAGTAACATAAGATTATTGTCTTAGTTTCAACATGCTTCAATTGGTCATTCACCAAACGTGATGGAAATCATGTTAGTTCACATCGTCGCACAACAAGAAAGGCTACCAAAAACCCTTTTGGATTTCACACTCTCCCGCCAATGTCAAATATTCCACTAACTCATTTGATTATAGATTTCATTATAAATTAACCTAAAACTTCCAAAAGGAAAAATTCTATATCCATTGTAATTTTTTTTAATAAAAAGCACTTCATAAATTACTCTGAAGATGTAGATGTTTCATATGTGGCACAATTATTCTTCAGAAAAATTGTTTGATTGCATGAGTTAGCCTTAACAGTTTCTTGTCTAGATTATCATTTCATTGGTTATTTTTAAAAAATTCCATCAATGTAGTTAGGTACTAATTCAAAATTTATTCTTTACCATAGACTAACGAATAAACAGAAATGGTTAATAGGGGTTCAAGTACCCTATTGAGATGTTTGATTGATCATTGTTTAGGGAACTGAGATTTAATAATTCAATTATCGAGTTTGCATATAACAGTTAATATGCATCCTAGAAAGCCCCTAAATATGTTATATCTTGCACCGGCAGGCCTCATAATCTCGATCAAGTACATTTTTGTTGAACATATCCATAAACTTAATGGTAATATTAGCCAGGCATTGCTAAATAAAATAATAGATATAAAGCTATAGCATATGTTCGAAGGAAAAATGAAAATTTGATGAGGAAGATTTTTCTAATTAAAATTAGATCATAACTTTCCATAGAATACATTTAAAAGCTAAACGCAGGATGTTTTATCCTTAAAAAAATCTCAAGAAATTAGATTAGATATTTTGATTCTTTCTTCAATATTTTAATTTAAGCTATGTTATCATTGAAGATTTAATACCTTATCAAGACACCTTTGGGACTTTTGTGCATCTAACTGTCTACAAGTGAAACTACTAATAATGCAAATAATGTTGTTGTGTTGACACCTTTATATGCTATGATTATTATGGGGCATTTACATACATACCACCCAATTCCTATTTATTTACATATCTAACATCTAAACTTTGTTTTTTACATTAATACCACCCAAACCTTCCATATCACAAAATAAATACCACCATTTTAACTTATAAAAAGTGAAATGCATCTTATCAAGCATAAGGTTGTATGTATGTGAAAAATAAAGTTTAGGTGTAAAATATGCAAATAAATAGGAATTGAGTGGTATGTATGTAAATCATCCTATTATTTATTACACAAACTCCCAACATGTAACAGATCATTTCTAATGAAATCGACACATATGCTTTAGGTTTACACAAATATTTGATTCATTGAAAGAAAAAGCCTCTCATTGAAGACAAAGGGATCATATATAAAGAGTTATGATCCTAACTCTCCGAGGAAAGTTCTTCAAGCCTTCGAAAAGTTGATGCAATGCATGGACCCAAATCCAAATTCAAAATTAGACCCAAGATCTAGAGTGAAGCTACAAGAAATATGTTCATGAAATTCAATTTGTATTTAGCTTATTAGGTTTATTTATATTAAGAACCATGCAATGCATGGAACAAAAGCCAAATTCAAAATTAGGCCCAAGCTCTAGAGTGAAGCCACAAGAAATATATTCATTAAATTTAATTTGTATTTAGCTTATTAGGTTTATTTATATTAAGAATCATCTTTTGGTAACCTTTGTATAAACTTCAACTAGTTAATAGGATGTTATTTCAATTTGGATTATATGATTGGATTAGTTTTAAATCTAAATTATAAACCTATTTCTATAAAAATGTTAGGAGTCCTATTTTTCATTCTTATGAATTGGCTTAAGCTCTTCACTCGATTCCCTCACTATCTACCCTCTAAAGCAAAACTTTTCCTCCCACCTCATGATCTCTATCTACTACCAATCTCTCTCCCCCAACGAAAAAATCTCCATAATCGATCCCGCTTCCTCTTGGGTTCCCTCATAAGAGGGAACCCACTTCATTCTTTTCTTTCTAGAATTCCCTCTAATTTATTTGCTCAAGCCCTTCTCAACTAACGGTTGAATTCATACAGAAAAGTTCAACATCAAAGACAAATGTCTTTCAAGAGATGGAAAAAGGAAGTATCGAGTGCATTAAAATCTATAAGGTTCCATCAATGATCACATCAAAAGTTCTTCATGATCAAGTAATAATAATAATAATAAAAAATAAATAAATAAATAAACTAACTGGCAGCCCATCAATATTATAAGTGAGTTACTATGTGGCCAATAATGCCTTCTTCAGAATGACATGCATAATTAATAGTATCAGCAAAGAAAGGCAGCTTTAGACCCAAAAAAATATGAATAATGATGTCCTATGTAACACTGATATTTCTAAAAATATGGTGCAAGCCATGTCGGACACTGACACGGCTCCGACACTCTTCGACGAATGTCTATCGCTACAAAATGTGTCTAAATTTTTTTTCAAACCTAAACACATCCGGGACACGCATTGACATGATATCAAACATGGGCTCAACATTAATTATAAATTTACATTTAGCCTTAATTATATCTCATAGTTGAAACCATCTCCTCTCAACATGTAATATTCATCAAAATTGAACATCAAAGGTGCATATAATCTTCGTCTAAGACGAGCATCGGTAGTTCCCTCTTTGTTTGTCAAAATCAAGCATCAAAGGTTCATCCTATATTTGTTAAAGCTAAGCATTAAAGTTCTCTTTCGTTCATAAAAACCAGATTTGCACCTGTTAAAGCGGAAGCCATAAGTTTCTTTGTCGTAACATGAGCAGAAGTCAAACTTTCATTGAAGCCAATCCACATGCTCCGCAATCTTTGTTATGCTTGCGCTAAACCTTCTATCCGTGGAAGACAAGTGGAGTCAAAATTGCCCTAATTTTGTAAGTGATAATTTCTTTTTTTTTGTGCTCTTTAATGAATTAAAAGTTATAAATCTATATTTATTTTAATTATAAAATTTAAATAGTAATATAATTAATTTAATAAGGTGTAATCTTAAGATATTCTAAATTTTAATAAATAAATTAGAGGAAATTTTTTCGAACAAATTATGTCTATTTCGAAAAATGATTTTTGTAAGCATGAGGTTTCATAATACAAATTAAGTTTTATTTTTTCATAATTTATTCTGTAATATTTTTAGTCAATAATAATTAAACATATATATATTTTTTACATTAATAATTTATTAAATATAAAAAAATGTCCAAGATATTTTGTTTATTAAATATAAAAAAATATCATGTCCTGTTGTTTTTTAAAGTATGCGTATCATTGTATCGTACTGTGCATGTTTGTGTCCCTGTGTTTGTGTTCGTATTTCATGGATGATGTCAAACAATCGATACAGCATATAAAAATGATTATCATGATTTACATCTCATGAAACACCAATATTAAGAATTGAAATGCTCATTCAAATAAAAAAATTGATTGATAAAAGTAAGCTAGAAAAACAAAAAAAAAACAAATGTAGATTCAAAGTTGATTTCTCACTAAAAATAATAGAGTATAAATCCTTAGCATGCATGAAAAAACAATGCAAATCAAGACTATAAGAAACCTGTGAAAGAGCATTTTACCTTGGGGTTTTTCACTGTCTCGTCCACACTTAGGATAAGACAGGCAGCTTCCGTAGCAGCGTTTATAGCATTGATCTGAAATTCAGATCTTATGGTTATTATAGCTGGAGAATAAAAGCAAGAGGTAGTAAGAAACTGGCCACTAAAAGCAATTACCTTCACTACTGAAGGTTCCCATACAAAGTTTGCAAAAGAATCAGCAATTCCACCCGTATTTATGTCTACACCATAGTTTGCACCTTCACCTAAGAGAACATAAAACAGGATTAGAAAAAGTCAAGTGCCATTGTCTACACAGATATATTAAGGAATCAATTTTTTTTTCTTTTTTCTTTTCTTTTTAAACACATGTTTGCTCAGCATATTTTTTACGAACTTTTATTTCTTTATCATAGAAACAAATTAACATATTGTTTAAAACAATCTGTGTTTCCAATAATTTTTTAAAAAATTATATCTTAATCAAATATGTCAAACAGATTTTGTTTCAAATCAAAACATAAACAAAACAAAAAAAAAGAAAAAATAAATAATAAAACAAAAGAATGCCAAGCATAGCAAATATGAACTACCTGATGCATGCTTCTGCCTGAGCTTGTTCAGCACGTCAGTGGCATCAAATCCAGCATTGTCACAAAGTTGACGAGGAATAACCTGCACAATGCATAGATAACTCAGGACACTGTCAGATAGCATATCTACAACTTGTGTTTAACATGAACGTTGTCAACAATTTTATTCGTACAAAGTTTAATATTGGTTTTATATTTTAATTTAAAGGACGCCTTCTCCACCCAGAGGGAAGAAGTGTGGAATAGACGCATACAAACCACTCAAAATTTAATAATTTCTACCCCATAGTTGCCACCATAATATAATGCTATTTGTTCTTCTATCCGCTTGGAAATGAATGTAACAAGGCAGAGCAAATAAAAATAATCTTCAATCTACAATCCCTCTGGAATAAATTTGATCTTCCAAAAAATACTTCACAGAAAAATTTAAGATGATCACCTATGCACTGTTCTTAATGATAAGTTTGAAGCCCAACCAAATCATCATCCATCAATTCCTACCTATAGCTAGTTTCAATTTTCAAGATCCGGATAAATAGTCGTAGTTATATTTTAAAATGAGTAAAGTGTCAAAATAATCCCATGGCTATTTAATCCCAGAGTTAATAAATGGCCCATATTAATCCCCAGGTTATGAACTAAAATAGTCCCCAAGGAAACTAATTTAGCCCCCATTAATAGTGTATGGGACTAAATTGACAATTTTATGGACTCTGGAACTAAAATTACCTCCGACAAATTATATCCTAATTTTCAGAAGATAATACTATCACATCAGTATCATGTTGTAGTGGTATTACAATATCAAACCCATACTTTATAGATGGTGAATAAGGATAAAATTTCCTGAAAGGGACAACTGATAGAGAAAATTTTATTTCATTATGGAACACTGGCTGTGATGAGAGAATTAGCAACTGAGTATAACATTGTTTTGTGACAGATTTTGTGAAAAGAAAGTAACCATATTAAAAATTATAGTAAGAAAAAAGTATGTTTCCATGTTTAAGCAAGATAAGAAACCAAGAAAAAATTTTAAACTTAAAGGTTTTTAGCAAAAGTAGACTAAAACTAGAACAGCAACCTGTGATATTTTACATACAAACCACACAATTCTTATGTATAGGGCTTTCAAAAAAGCTTGTTGTTCGCGAACAGTTCATGTTCGGTTTGTCGGAAAGTTCATGTTTGATTTGTTCGATAAGCAAATCAGATGCAAGAGCAATTTTTTTTGTTCGGTTTATAAATGAACCAAACACGAACAGTCATTTATTCGATCGTGTTCGAATCGTTATTGTTTGAATTATAAAATAATTAAAAATAATTATATAAAAAAACTTATAATATTTTAAAAATAATTGTATATTCTAAAAATTTATCATATTTTAAGAAATTAAATCCTTTATATAATATAAGTTATATAATTAATATAATATATTATTTATATATATTAATATTAGGGATGTCAAACTGGCTCGTCGTTTGCGAACAGCTCGAGTTCGGCTCGTGCTCGTTCGTTAAGAAACGAACACGAACAGTGCATTTACGAACAATTTCAAACACAAGCTTATTTCAAACAAACTAAATTTCAAACGAACCGAACACGAACACAAGCTCTTTTCGTTCGTGTTCAGGTCGTTTAAACCCCTACTTATCTATTTACATATCTAACACCCAAACATGCATGTTTACATGCATGTCACCCAAATCTTTAACATCACCACAAAAATATACACCATTTCATGCATACTTTTATGAGATCAAGATGTTATAAGTGTAAATATCAAACATTGGGTGTTAGTTATGTAAATACAAAAGAATTGTGCGGTATGTATTTAAATTTCCCAAATTTTTTTCTTTTAGAGTTGGTAGCATGACACAAATCAGATAGTAGATTAGATGGTAAGTTTGAGTACATAAATGATATATCATACCTAATCTGAGCAATATGCAAACACAAAAAGTCAACAAACAAGAACAAATTATAGCAAAAGCAAATAAAGCTGCCAAATAGATTAAAGATTGGTAAAATAGCTTCACATCCTACCTCAAGGGCCTTGGCATATGAATTTATAAACAACTGTGACTTGCCAGCAATTGTCCTCGCATGTTGTCTCAGATAGCGGCTAAGTTCCATCTAATATTAGGTTGAGCACAATTCTTCATCCAATCAGGTTAACACATATAAGATTAGGGGCGTTTACATACATAGCACATAATTCTAATGTATTTACATATCTCACACCTAAACTTCTATTTTTACAGACCTAGTACTTAATCTTTAATATCACAAAAACATAGCACTATTGACACTTTTAAAGACTGAAATACACCTTCTCGTGCATAGGGTTAAAGCACCAAAGTGCTATGAATGTAAATATGAATATTAGGTGTGAGATATGTAAATACATAAGAATTGCTCGCTAGGTTTGTAAATTTCCCATAATATAATGAGTATATATAAATTTCTTACATCTATCGCGCCGCCACCAGCCACGACAGTGGAATTCTTTACAGCTCTTCTCACAATCATGATTGCATCATGTAAGCTCCGTTCAGCTTCATCAATGAACTGCAGAGAGTAGGTTTATAGTCAAAAGTTAGGGCAAAGGATAAAAAATAAGGAGCGTTTACATAAATAGCACAAAATTCGTATGTATTTACATATTTCCCATCTAAACTTTCATATTTTCGCACCTGGCATTCAAATATTTAATATCACATCAAAAATAGCACTATTATCACTTTTTAAAAGTGAAATAAGCATTTTCATGCATAGGTTTAAAGCACCAAAGTGCTAGCAAGTAAATATAAATGTTTAGGTGTGAGATATGTAAATACAAAAGAATTGTGAGGTACGTATGTAAATTCCCAAAAAATAATATACAATCATAACTTGTTGGAGATAATCAACACTTATAAGCAACCTGGTCAGCACCACCACGCAGAACTATTGTAGCCGTCTGGCCAGAAGGGCAGCCACTAAATATGTTGAAGCGCTCATTTCCAACTTGCTTCTCCTCAAAGAGCTCGCAAGATCCAAGAACCTTCCAAGCACAAAACACGTACAATGTAAAACCACAAACGCAAGTTTATAAGAGAACTCATTCTAAAATTAAAGAAGAAAATAATTATTTAAAAAAGGTAAATAAGTACTTATTCATGACATAAAAACAACAAATTTAAGAACTAGTTGTCGAGAAAAGACCTCATCAATGACATTGTTCACGGAAGTCTGGACAGTTCCACCAGTTGCAGCAGCAACACGCTGCAGGTCCTCCTCGGTTACACGACCGGCACAAAAAATATCACGATCTGCAAAATACTGAATAAAGCTCAACGTTACGGATCCGGACTTGTTATCCTAATCAGAATAATTATGGAATTGCTAAAATAGTCCCTGCCTATTTACATGGGATCATTTAAATCCCATAGTCTGTAAAAGTATTAAATTAGTCCTCATACTCTTTTAATATGGGTTCTAAATTGACATTTTTATAGACTTTAGAGCAAAAAATGACCATCAACAAAGAGTCAATGGACCATTTTGACTTTTTTTCTCATAATAATAATAAACTTGAAGATACCTGTGTTGCAAGGTCACCAATTGCCAACCTAGAAAGAATAATTTTTGCTCCACTCTGGACACATTTATCCAATTTATCATAGATGATATTCCACTCTGCATCAACAATTGACTGATACTGTGCTGGATCAGATAGTCTGCAAACAAACATGTGCATGATGTTATAATTCATAATGTCCTCTTTATGGTCATTATTCTAAAGTAATATTTGGGCATTTACATACATAGCACACAATTGTTATGTATTTACATATCTTGCACCAAAACTTTCATATTTAGACACAGCACTCAAATCTTTAATATCACATAAAAAAAAGCATTATTGCCACTTTTTGTAAGTGAAAACCACCTTTTCATGCATAGTTTGAAAAGAAGGCCAAAGTGTTATATGTAAATATAAAAGTTTAGGTGTGAGATATGTGATAAAATAAGAACTATGTGGTACGTATGTAAATTTCCCACATCACAAAATCTAATATAAGAATATTCCAGGGGCAGCACAACTCTATACCTGATTTCAGCATTTTCCTTCTCGGATTTAAGTTCAAGTTCAATATTCAACAAAAGAATCTTTGGATTTACAAATTTCTTGGGCTGCTGCTCAAAACCGGCATAAGAAAATGTCTTCTTGAAGGCTACACCATTCACAAGGAATGAATCTCTCATGTTACCCCCAGGAACCTGCAACATAAACAAATACTAAGAGGCTGTTTGGGATCAAACAATCATTTTTGTTTGATGTTTTCTATTCTTATTTTTTATTTTTTTATCGTTTTATTTGTGTTTTTATTTGAAACAAAACATGTTTGGCATGTTTGATCAATATATGATTATTTTTAAAAACACACAAAACTCCTAAAAATTATTTTGAGTTTTCTAAAAAAAAATTAATTCGTTTTAACAAAAATACAAAACAAACAAATTTTCAAAAACAAAATTGATTCCAAACAAGCCCTGAACTTTCAACTAAATTGAAAGCTAGTCAATTTTGTTAAGATGGTTAAAGAGCAAAATGTCTTTAAGAGCCCCTGGAAGTTCAAATACACTGAGCTATAAAATGACAAAAAATAAGTGGGAAATCATAGTGTGATGTATAACAGTCTAATAAACTAAAATATGAAATAAGCTGAATAAATACATGCAAAGATACAAAATACTAACGAGTATGAAATTCAGTCCTCCTTTATTCATAACAAAAAAGTGCATGACACCATATAAAAGCTACACACAAGGTAATTGCAAACTATGAAAAACATCAACCTTCTACACTTACGTAAATTTTAAAATAATATGAAAGCAAAGGCAAACACTGTAACATAACCAAAACATAAAAAAGACAAATCTCAATAAAAGCACTGGCATCTATAAGCACACAATTTTTCTACCAGAACAAATATATTTGACATTTAGCACAGGTTTATACCATGGAAGTCAATACAAGAGTTGGTCCAAAGACAACATGACAATCTCACAACCTGGAGAAGCGAGCACCTAAGAAAAAAGAAGATTTACATGCATACCTCTATGTCCAACTCCCAAACTTCAACTTTTTACAAATAAGACATCTTACCTATATGAAAATGTGTATTATTTAAAGTTAAAATGGTGTTATTTTTTATGTGATATGAAAGATTTTGGTGCTATAAATGTAAAAGATAAAGTTCAGGTGTTGAATATGTAAGTACATAAGATGTATGTAAATGCCCCTAACATAAAGCATGCAGTGTAAAATAGGAGCAACATTAATGCAATGGTTCTCAATGAAGTAGGACATCGTTAAGTTGGACAGGTTATGCCACAAAATTCACATTAACTAACAAAATTGCTGACAAAACAATTAAAAATTCAAGGTTAAGCATCCTCAATAAATACAAGCATTACTAATGAGGATTATTATGACATTAATTGCAGTGGAATAATTAAATTACAACATAAAGAAGGGAAGCAAAAGATCTGGGAAATAGGCACCTTAAAAACAATGAAACAGCTTAGTCACATTGAACTCAGTATAAATTACAGTGAGTATATCCCAATTTATCTGTTAAGATAAATATTTAAGCAATTTCATATTCAGCAACCACATATTTATGATCAGGACCATATATGATAAAAACTACAGCAAACGAGTATAAAATTCACATATAATCCTTTCAGAATGAAATATCCAAGATTCAAACAATGTAAGCATTCCAATCTAACTCTTACAAAAAAGAATATAATTATATTATGCACATATAGTATATATACAATTAAGAAAAACATTTATATAGTATCCAAGAAGTTAATCGAATGCTCAGTAAAAAGAAAACTAATAAAAAGAGTGCATGAAGAAATGAATACATCTCTGAGGTAAATTACAATTTACAAACATAAATTTTAGCCTACAAACAAAGAGTAAATACACACAGACACTCCCTCTCTACGGCACTAGTACAAGCATGTGTGGATGGAAAGCTTGATAAAGTTAATAGAAAGATAAATATAGCATGCATGAGGAATTAGATGCCTCCCTGTAAGTGCATAACAGGGCAATGATTTATACTATTGCGCCAAATACACAATCAACAGCACTAACCTTATTGAAGCAAAACAACGGAAAAAAAAAAAAGAAAGCTTACACAAGTGTACAGCAAACCCATTAATTTTTGGAAGATTTACATACATACCCCTCAATTGCAATTTATTTAGAAAATCCAACACCCAAACTTCAAATTTTACATAAATGCCACCTCATGCATGAAAAGGTATATTTCAACTTTTGAAAGTTAAAAATTTTGATATTTTTGATGTGATGTGGAAGATTTGGGTGGTATAAATGTAAAAAGTAAATTTTAGAAGTTAGATGTGTAAAAACATAAGAATTTGGTGGAATATATGTAAATGATCCTTAGTTTTTTACGATGTTTCATAACCGGAAATTTCAAGTGTGGATAAAAGTTACCTTTTTAATACCAATCAAGTTCAATCTATCATCATTGCCAATTGCAAGGACAGCATCCACAACCATTGACGCAAAAAACTCCTTTTCGCCACCAATAAGCTTTGAAGAAAGTGTGGTTTCAGCACATTTCGCCAATAAATTTTTCTTCTCCTCGAGGCTTTTCCCCTCAATACTCACAGCAAGTTCCTTGATTTTGTTAATTGCCTAAACATAAGACAGCCCAATTTCAGTCAAATAAATTGTGTTTAACCAGCTACCAGAGAAACAAGGGGGCATAGATGTGAGAAACACACATACATAGCATAGAATTCTTATATATTTACATCTCACAACCTAAACTTTCATATTTACATATATATATATATATATATCACTTTGATGTTTTAACCCTTCGCATTAAAACGTGTATTTCACTTTTAAAAAGTCGTAAAAATGTTATTTTTTATGTGATATTAAAGATTTGGGTTCTGTGTGTGTAAATATGAAAGTTCAGGTGTGAGATGTGTAAATACACAAGAAGTGTGTGTTATGTATATGTAAATGTTCCCATAGATCTTTGTTATACCCACCAAACGAGATGCAGTCCTATAACTTCGTATCAGATTTTGAGAATGAACACCATCCTCGATGAATGGTTTTCCCTCCTTTAAGAACTCTCCTGCTAGGAGCACAACCGTAGTGGTTCCATCACCTACCTGGAAATCACTAAAAGTCCTTAGGTATAAAGACAAATTATACATAAATATCTACACATTTTCGTAGTATCAGTGATGCAAAGTAAAATTTTTCACACTTTTACTGTCAATATTTGAAACTCAAGCTTGAAGACCAGAAAGGTCATCAAATTCATAGAGTAATAATCATCCATAGGATAACTACCATGAATATTATAAGGTAAAAACTTTAGGGGGTATCCGACAACGCCTTCTAATAGGATTTATCACTAAATTTAATAAATCCAGCCAAAAGCTAAAATGCATGAATTCTGTGAATTTATTAATTTTCGGATTTAGGGTCCCAAATTTTGGCTTCGATTCGGCTTAAATCCGGATTTACTAAATCTAGGTCTAGAGTGGATTTAAAGAATTTACTGCTACTAAGGCTAAATACTACCTGCAGCCAAACACGCCCATAAAGTTTTAAGGAAACACTAGAAATTCTATTTTTTTCTGGAACCAACTCCTCAATATTATGCTGATAACATTAGAACTAGGAAGATTGACATTAATAACACGCATAAAATATAGCCATCCGTTCTAGAGTTAAAACAAGGCATTATAACCCAGGCCAATTAATTATGTTAAACGCCCTCACCATTAAAAAGAATGAAGCCCAGAAAAGGCTACTTGTTTCCAGCGTTAATTAAGAAACAAATCACTTCAATACCCTTATACTCAAATAAACCTGAGAAGGCACCACGAAAGCGCCATTCCAATAGTGAAAAACAATCACGGAAAGCTTAAAAATAAAATTCGTTAGCACCAAAAACCATGAATCGCCACTTCACCTCGGAGTCCTGGGACTTGGCGATGTCGACGAGGATCTTGGCGGCAGGATGAATAATATCGAGCAACTTCATGATGGTAGCACCATCGTTTGAGATGGTGGTATTACCCTTGTCGTCATGGATGAGCTTGTCCATGCCCCTGGGGCCCAAAGTCGACCGCACTGCATCAGCCACTGCTGTACACGCGTTGATATTCGAAACCACCTGCGCTTTCCCCTGCGCCGTGTCCGTCCCCTCTTTCAGAAGTATAATCTGTGGTTGCTGCCATCATTAACGAAAAAATAAATCATATCAGATTCAACCTCCCTCGCTCTAATTCTGTACTGGCAGATGAACAAGATGAAGAATGAAAGGAATAAACAGACCAACATCGCCGCCATTGTTGCAGAAAGGAGTGAAACGCAATGGAAATGGCTGATGATGTAAGTTCCGCTTTAGGGATATAGGGTTTACAGGGGAGAAATGAGATATAGCGCTAGCTATTTGCGTATATAGGGTTTACAGGGGAGAATAGGGGTGTAAACGAACCGAACACGAACGAACATGTTTTCTTTTACAATAAAATAAAATATGGATGGATAAAAAATTATAAAATGGGTCAAATTTGAAGCAAAAATGAAGAAGTTGTAAAAAATGAACTAGGCGTCTAAGCGCCCAGAACTGGCGCTTATGCGCCAATTATACAGAGAGAACCACACCTAAGCACCAGGTACCTCACACTTAAGCGTCAGAAGTAGTTATTGATGATTCATTGAATTTAGTTGAATTTTTTAAGAGCTGTTTGAAGGAATCCTTGGTAAGAATATGGTAAATAGCCCATGGACACAAAAATTCATTCAACTGACTTTTGAAATGAGACAACTTCTAAAAGATTCATTGAATGGAGACATATTTTGAAGAGACACCAAGGCTCCCCTTAAATTTTTATTAAAGAATACTTGGATCATCAAGAGAAGGGGCCAACAGCCGTCATCCATCCAAAAAACTGCCGCGCATTGCCCCGCCGCCTCCAGCCACTTTATTTTATTTTAAGTTTTAGTTTGTATTGTGAGTGAAGGAAGAAAATTTAAAGAAACTTCAAGACATTTGGTGGAGAGGATTTGAAATTAGTGTTTACCTTTGTGACTACATTGGTTTTAATTTAGATTTCTTGTTTGTGTGCATGATTTCTACTTTAAACTCATGTGTGGTTGTGTTTTCTCCATGGATTCTGAGTAATTTTCTTTATCTTTTTCCTTAAAATGATAAGTGATTATGTGTTGAAAGGAAGTTGTGTGAAGTATTATTGTGTGATGTGAAGTATTAGACTTCAATGTTGGAAGAAGTTGTGTTGATTTGAAACCTTGTACTTCATTTACTTCTTAATTTTTGATAATTAAGATGTTAATAACTGTTGTGAGAACATGTAAGATCCGAGATGGTATTGTCTCAGTCAACAAATGGTAAGAATCACATATTTATTTCATGGATGAGAATGTAGTTCATGGGGTTGAATGCAAATAAATAATGAAATAAACTTTCATGGGTGTATAATTAGAGGACTTTAGAGTGACAAGCTAAAGTCTTCAATTTAATTTATAATTTTAGATTTTGATACAAGATGTTAGCCCCCAGGTGGAGGGAGAGGAGGGACTCTACAGTGAGAGCTAGTATCTTCCATACCTAACCGGTCTTCAAAAATATTCAAACAATAGATTAATCAATCTTCTTTATAGCATCTCTAGTAAGGGCAAAGAATATTATTGTTTTTATTTGGCACAACATATTTATAATACTTCCACAACAGAATTTATGTACTTATTACTGATCTGTGATAAGGAAAAAGAAATTTTACTTAAATTGTCTTCATCTTGCAAATATTTAGTTAAGTTAATTAGTTGCTTACTTTATTTTCAAACATCAAAAATTATAAAAAGAATTGAACATTCATTTTCATTATAGTATCTTAAATTTAAGTAAGAATATTTTACTAAGTAAAATTTTGTTATCTAATTTCTCCACAATAGAATATTAAAGTGCATATTGCCACATTGGGAAACTTGCGTAGTATCTCATATTTACTTGCACAACAGAATATTAAAGTGCATATTGCCAGTTTTCTTTGTGGGTTCGATATTCGGGGCTTAATCAAAAAGTCATATATTACATGATAACGATATGTATACTTGCGTAGTATCCCATATTTAAATATTATAACTATATTCTTCTTTGCTTCATAATGAAAAATTTGCCTAGCTTTTGCTTTGGATCAAGTTTTTGTTGGATCAAGTTTTTGACTTTGTTGTAAAATAGGAATCATTATTAAGGAATTAAGCATATAATCGCATGCATCGCAATAAACATCTATATAGAAAGACAAGATCAAGTTTTTGGCACCGTTGTCGTGGAAACATTACAAATTTTCAAAAGAGATTTTTAGAAAGAAAAATTTCTATTTTTATAAGGTCTTATTTAAACTTTAGGATTTATTATAGGAATATTATAGTGTTTTTTATATTAAGCTATTGTTTATGTGTTTTTATTTTGTTATAATTCATTTTATGTGTTTTATAGTAATATATGCATTCAGGTTCCATAGAACTTGTGCCTTACAAATCTAAATTTAGAAAGAACTATTAGAAAACTTAAAAAATTAAAAATCACTGAAAATTTTCAAGAAATGACAAATCAGAATAATCAAAATGTTGAAGAGAGTTTAGATCTTTAAGAGATTATGCAAACCCTACAGTGGATGAAATTCATTATCGTATTCAAAAAATCTTTATAGTGGCTAATTCATTTGAGCTTAAACCTGTTATTATCCAAATTGTATCAAATAATCTGTTTGGGGGAGCACCAACTGAAGATCCAAATTTACATCTTACCAATTTTCTAGAATTGTGTGCTACATTTAAATATGATGATGTAACAGATGATGCTATAAAACTTAGATTATTTCCTTTCTCACAGAGGGATAAGGCTAAGACATGGTTACATTCGTTATCATCTGGATCTATCAGAACTTGGGGTGATTTAGTGCCTGGGGTGATTTAGTGCAAAAATTCCTTGTTAAATATCTTCCATCATCAAAACTACAAAGCTTAGAAATGATATTACATGTTTTTGTTAGTTTGAAGGGGAATCTATTTATAGGGGAATCTATTTATTTAAAGAATTCTTAAGAAAGTGTCCACACCATGTTATACTAGATTGATTAATAATGTCCACAAGTGTCCACACCATGTTATACTAGATTGATTAATAATTCAAACTTTTTACAATGGATTAGTTGGATCTCTTTGATTTATTATTGATGGCGCTTCTGGTGGTTCATTGATGTCAAAACCATTTAATGATGCTTATGCTTTAATTAAAGAAATGGCTACAAATAATTTTCAATGACTTTCTTAAAGGTTAAATCTTAAGAAAGTAGCCAATATTCATGAAACTGATGCTCTTGCTATGTTAGGAAATCAAGTTGCTGCAATTTCAAGGAAGTTAGACAAATTTGGAATGAATTTTTTTTAACCAATTTCAATGATTGAAGAAAATTCATCTGGCCAAATGATAGATTCTCAAGCAACATTATAAATTTTGAATGTTATAAACAACAAGCAGAATAACCCATATTCAAACTATTACAACCCAGGTTGAAAGAACCTTCCCAACTTTAAGTGGAATAATACTTTGGGTGGTAATAATCAGTAATGGGGGAACATCCAAGTACACCCATTAGGAAACTGGAACAACCAAGGGAATAGTAATTATAGACCTACTTACCCTCCAAGTTTTAACAATAATCCACAATTTAAGGAGAAGAAACTGTCTATAAAAGAATTTTGCAAATGAAAAATCAAATACAAAGTTAAGGAGTTAAAATTAGAACTATTGAGAATTAGTTGGGACAAATATCAAATTAATTAAGTAATAGATCTTAAGGAACACTTCCTAGTAATATAGAAGTAAATCCAAAAAACCATAATAAAGAGCAAGTAAAAGCCATTCAACTTAGAAGCGGAAGAGATTTAGAAGGTAGAGTTCAAAAAGAAACCGAAGTAGAGAGAGAAGAGAATTAAGAACCAAAAGAGGACACTCCAAAAGGTTTAGAGAGACATATTTCTCAACTTAAAGTTGACCTGGAAGTACCACCACCTCCATTTCCTTAGAGGCTTCGACAACAAAAGTTGAATAAATAATTTTTAAAATTTCTAGAAATTTTTAAGAAGCTTACAATTAATATTTCATTTATTGAAGCCATAAAACAAATGTCAAGCTATGTGAAGTTTATGAAGAATATTCTTAACAGGAAAAGGAAGTTTGAAGATAATGAAACTGTTGCACGTGCAATAGGAGACAAATTTTGTAGGAAAGCTTTATGTGATTTAGGTGCAAACATTAACCTAATGCCCTTATCATTATTTAAAAGACTAGGATTAGGAGAAATATCCCCTACTACTGTAACTTTGCAGTTAGCAGATTGTTGAATAACATATCCTAAGGGAGTTATCGAAGATGTTATAATGAAAGTGAATTAATTTATCTTTTCTATTGATTTCATTGTGCTAGATATAGAGGAAGATAAAGAGATATCTATCAATTTGGGGGGACCTTTCCTAACTACAGGAAGAGTAATGATAGATGTGCAGATAGAAGAATTAATTATGTGTGTCAATGATCAAACAGTTACTTTTAATTTTTCCAAATCAATGAAATACCCTGTAAAAGGTAAAGATGATGAATGTTATAGAATGTATGTGATAAGATATTTAAGTCAATGCCATTTCAAAACAACTTAAGAAAAAACTGAAATAAAAGAGTTGGAACACAAGAAAGAAGAGGAATTAGATCAATATGAAGATTTATATAAGGAAGATTCTAAGATTTATCAATATGAAGATTTATATAAGGAAGATTCTAATCATATTCGAGAAAGTTTTGAAGTTTCAAACACAACATAAAAAGATAAATCTTTTTGTCCATCAATTGAAAACCCTCTTGAGCTTAAGTTGAAATTACTTCCTAAACATTTGAAGTATGCCTTTTTTGGTGATTTCACAACATTACTTGTTATATTTTCCTCAAAATTAACTATAGAAGAAGAAGAGAGTTTGATGAAAACTTTAAAGTATCACAAGAAAACTTTTGGATGGACATTCATTGATATAAAAAGAATCAGTCCTTCAATTTGTATGCATAGAATTCATATGGAAGAGAACTGCAAACCCAGGGCTGATCCTCAAAAAAGATTAAATCCTATTATGAAAGAATTTATTAAGAAAGAAATTTTAAAGTGGTTAGATGATGAAATTATCTACCCTATTTCAGATAGTGCATGAGTTAGTCCAATTCAATGTGTTCCTAAGAAATCAGTGATTGTGACTTTGAATGAACATAACAAGTTAAAACCGGCAAGATAAGTCATAGGATGGTGAATATACATTGACTATAGAAAATTAAATCTTGCCACTAAGGAAGATCATCTAAGGAAGATCACCAAAAA